AGTAAGCCATGCGCTGGTGCTTTCCCGCAACTAAAGCTCAGACGCCAAGACCTAGACCCGCCTCGATCATTCAAACCCGCTCACTCCCAGCAACCAGCCTACTACTAAACTCTCAGTTGGATCCTAGATACTCGAAAGTGAATGAACACCAGAGAGAGGACTGGCATAATGTCGTATCAGCTTTCATCTTGCACACAACACTAAGCGATCCGCAATCCATCATGGATATATGCTGCATCGCGCAACCTAAGAACATTGCCCTGTGCATACACCCTTCTTCACGAAACCTTTAAGACGAGGGTGCAGTGCCCGACATGGGACATGACCATGATGACGCATCTGACACGACTACGAAGTCTACACTATCCAGCCTCGAGGATGAAACGTTGAATAATGAAGTCTCGGCTCAAGCGAAATTTCAAGGGGGAGGGGCCTCAATCGCGAATATGGTTACATCCTGTGAAGAGGATGACCACGGTGGTCAGGAACTCGGCAACGTGTCAGATAGCCTGACTCCTGAAAGTCAAGCTGCGCCTGAAGCTGTTAGTGCTAGAGAAAATGGGACTGCTTCGAGCCCCGACGCCCCCACGTTGCACAGCAGCACGATTTTCCCATCAAGAGAGATGAGCACCAATTCTGGCGACACACCCACGTCGCAAAATTCGGGCTTGCCCAAATGTGACTGTCTTATCAACAACCCCCCCAACATTTCCAGGATTCGACGAGTAATGTTCGAATGCAAGGATCCTATAGAGATAAGTCTTGAGGAGTTTGAGACTTACTGGCCGTTCATTGATAACGTGTGGGTAAAACAAAGGTCTAATTCCAGCAAAGAGGGACACTGTACTACGGACTATTATATGTGTCGATTGCGACGTCCAACTCATCGCACATCAGAGACACGGCCTCTGCCCGAAGGAAAACGGCCTCGAAAGAAAAGGGTACGAGAGGGTGGCATATGCAATTTCCAGATCAAAGTGGTGAAGTTTGAAGGGGCCTATTCAACTGTGACCATCGCGAGGACTCCGGGAAGTAGCCATGTGCACTCGCATGACCTCGATTATATCGACAAGGTGAAGCGAAATTCGGGGCTCATGGAGTTTGCACGAAGGGAAGCAGTAAAGGGATATTTACCATCTTCCATCTATACCAAATTCAAAGAAGCACCTGCGAAGCTTGAGGAGGCAGGTGGCAAATTCCTCACGGTGACAGATGTGCGCAATGTTTCAGCAAAGTGGAGAATCCAGAACCCCGAGGTGAAACTCGTACCGCATGATGGCTATGAATACCAAAAAGGTCATGGAATCGTGAGAAAAGGGGGAAGTGAAAGCAACGGCGGCAGTCCGGTTCTATCGAGTACGACCCCGAAGTCGTCGTTACCACCAGACACTCTTTCATTTCCTCAGTTCTCCTTGGAGTTCCTCGGTCCCTATCTCCCAAAGCACGATGAGCGGCGCCCATTTCCTCATGTCACCCTATCTTACGCATCTTCCATGGACTCTAAAATCTCACTTCTTCCAGGCATGCAGACAGTGCTCTCGGGACCCGAAGCTAAGCTTATGACGCACTATCTGCGATCTCGTCACGATGCTATCTTGATTGGAGTTGGGACGGTCCTTGCTGACAACCCGGGCTTGAACTGTAGATTGGAAGGGGCAGGAGGCTACGGCGGCCTGGGGAGAATGTGGCAACCGCGACCCGTGGTGATTGATCCCACCGGTAGATGGCCCATTCATCCCGAGTGCCGCATGCTAAGGACTGCAGTGAATGGTAAAGGCAAAGCGCCATGGGTTGTGGTATCGCCGGGAGCCCGTATTCACCCCCAAAAACTGGTGATGCTCAAAGGCTATGGGGGCGACTTTCTTCGAATCATGGAATACAATCAGGATTGGCGCCTTCGCTGGGAAGCCATTCTGCGCGCTTTGGCATCCGAGGGTATCAAGAGCGTCATGATTGAGGGCGGAGGAACTGTCTTGAGTGAGCTATTAAATCCCGAGTATGCCGATTTTATTGATTCCATAGTTGTGACTGTCGCCCCCACTTATCTTGGCTCTAGTGGAGTGAGTGTGAGTCCAGACTCTAAGCGCGACGGAGAAGGAAAGCCGAACGCGGCCTTAAATCCCAAGGATGTGAGATGGACACCATTGGGTCAAAACGTTATTATGTGCGGCAGAATCCGCACAGAGAATCCCCTCACTTCTCGCGTTCAGGGATAAGAAGGCTCTTTTACTCCCTGCCCATTCTCTCTTTATTTCCCCTCTATGCCCCTTTCATCTGCCACTCTCTGGTCCTTCCTTGTTGACACAGTACTACATCCCTCTGCACGGAGCACATAAAGTCAATGTTAATGTTCATGAATAGAACATATCATCTAAACCAAACCTTGAGCCCATAATGATAATAATAAAATAGCTATTAACAACATCTCGCAAGCGCATTAGAGGTAGGGACCATATGCATATGCAGATGTTTGAGTAAGAGCCACGCTAGTTATCTTTGAGCCCTGATCATAATGAAATGGAGCATATTTGGCACATGACCGGTAAGAAGAGCGTAAACAAAGACGCTGCTGTTAGAACCGTCATTTCTCGTAAACAATGAAGTGATAGAAGTTGCCGGAACGACTTTATGGTTCACTAGACCGACATTCATATATCGCTGATATGCTTTGGGGATGGGAGACTACGGAAAGTAGGAAAGTATGGTTGACTTGCTCTTTTAAGCTTTCTTGGTTTGCTCACCAGTCATATGTTGCTTATGTATAGTGCTTTGAACACCCTACTTGCTACGTAGACTAGTCCGACTTGGGTTGTTGTTGTCCACGGTTAGTGTACCAGTAACTACAATGGGCTGTTGTTTCCTTCAGCTAAAAACAGTAACAATAACAACAGTCACGGGTGGAATACCCCAGGTTCTAAACCAGCCCCCAGCTCCTCAACAGCAAGCCATTTCAATTGAAAGCGTGTTGTCTGTGATATCGTCCCTAGATACTGAATAGCACCAGCTTATCTTTCATTCGATCTAATCGTTTTAATCTGACTCTCTGTACTACTTGGCATAAACATCTCTCTCCCTCTCTCTTTTGTATAGCCTTTTCCATACTGGGTTTAAAACCAGCTCGTGGCGCGTTTTCTTAATAATGCCCCCAAAGAAAAGTGCATCTAAGTCTGCTGGCAAAGGCAAGAAAATGAAGGCAGCGATTACTGCAGCTGCTATGACGGCCATCAAGGCGAAACGAACAGCAATGAGCACAGCTCTAAATACCGCAAACCACTCTATTAATACTGATGACGCAGCCATTGTCAATGCGGGGACTCCAAGGGAGACCAAGATTAGCAAATCCAGTGGACGTTCTAGCCAAGGAGCCGTATCCGCGAAGGATGGAAAGCGAAAAGCTGATATCGACGAAGAAATACCGACCTGCGAACCGAAGAAGGCGCGTGTAGTCCGACCTCGGGTGCCGAAGCCAAAACCAAAGATCATCATCAACAGTGCTCCCACCACCCGTCTAAATGTGTATGTTTGTGGCGAAGGCAGCTCTGGTGAACTCGGTCTTGGAGCGGGGAACACCGCCATCGATGTAAAGAGGCCTCGTCTCAATCCGCATTTGCCAGCAGACCGGGTCGGCGTTGTACAAGTCGCAGTTGGCGGCATGCATTGCGTGGCACTTACGCACGACAACAAAATCTTGACATGGGGTGTCAATGATCAGGGAGCGCTTGGGAGGGATACCACCTGGGAGGATGGCTACAAGGATGTGGACGAGACTAAAAGCGACTCGGATTCAGACTCTGACAATGACACTGGCCTCAACCCGCACGAGTCGACTCCTACTGCTATTCCTTCTGACGCTTTCCCAGAGGGTACTATTTTTGTGGAAGTCGCAGCTGGCGATAGCTCTAGTTTTGCTCTTACAGATGAAGGTCAGGTCTACGGTTGGGGAACTTTTAGGGTACGTTAGCTCACGCGCCAACTGCTCAGATTAAGCTGACAATGTCAAGAGCAACGACGGGATTCTTGGCTTTGACCCCAATAACAAAGTCCAAGCTACTCCCACGCATATCCCCTCATTGAAAAAGATCAGGCACATGGTCTGTGGTGATAATCACGTTCTCGCTCTAAACGAGAAGGGCGCCGTATCCTCGTGGGGTTCCGGCCAGCAGAACCAGCTAGGCCGCCGTATCATTGAGCGGAATAGGCTAAATGGGCTTCAGCCACGCGAGTTTGGTCTACCTAAAAACATCGTGCACATTGCTTGTGGCGCTTTCCACTCCTTCGCCGTCCACCAATCTGGCAAAGTCTACGCTTGGGGTCTGAACAGTTTTGGTGAAACCGGTATCAGAGCCGGTGCTGGTGACGACGATGCTGCTATCGTCCACCCTACCATTGTCGATTCGCTGTCAAACCAAGGTGTCACTCAACTTTGCGGTGGTGCTCACCATTCACTCGCCGTCACTAGAAGCGGCCAGTGTCTCGTTTGGGGACGATTGGACGGTTACCAAACGGGACTGAGGATTGACACACTCTTGGATGAAGCGGTTATCAAGGATGAGCGTGGACGCCCGCGCATCCTCATAGTACCGACTCCTGTGCCTGGAATTAAGGCCAATGTGGTGGCGGCGGGTTCAGATCACTCAATAGCCATCGATAGCGATGGCCATCCTTGGTCGTGGGGGTTTTCCGCTACTTATCAAACTGGCCAAGGGACACAGGATGACATTGAGGTAGCAACTGTTATCGAAAACACTGCTATCCGGGGAAAGAGGCTGACCTGGGCGGGTGCGGGGGGCCAATTCTCCGTATTCACCGAACCTGTGATGTTATGATCAGCTTCGAATTGGCAGAGCCTTCCACAAGAGCTGTAGTTTGGTTCGAGTCCGGCAGTGCTCATAGTAGCCTGGCTTTGTACACTTGCAATCTTCTGACTGTAATGTATTATACGGCTGCGTTCAATACACGAGATCTTTACGCACGGTATGTAAATCGACTCTTCCCTTTCTCATTTGGGATTTGGGCTCAAGAGCATCGTCATCCGTATTGTACACAAGTCCTTGTTTAAGAATAACGCCTGTCCGTCTCGAACCTCGGTAATTTCTTTCGGGTGCCAATAAGCAGGCAGAACAGAGACCTAGACGCCATGGTTCCCATCTTCAAATTCTCGTAGAAGGATATCCAACTCGTCATCTTCAGGGGTATCATCCGCTACGCAACTTTCTGGTATCTGTTTGTTTGACTCTGAAGTTGGCGCATGTGGTTGTGCTAGGTCGAACATTATGTCCCCGCGTCTAGAGCCAGAAATGGTTCCGCCTAATGCTGTATCGGATGTCTCTACCGTAGTCGCAGGGTCCATGTCTGCACTAAGATCATCGAGGACTTGCTTGTTTATATCAGCCGTCAGCACTTTCGGCTTCTCTTCATCAATCCACTCCCTTCTCATCGCCTGCAAGCGCTTAGAGTGTCCAAGTTTTTCGATCATGGCCAGACCATCAGCGAATTTGGCCCGAGGATATAAATCGTCAAGCCATAATTGGTAGAGGTTCAAAAGCCGGGCGACGTCAGAAAACTGTTCCATGAAATTAGCAGTCGGAGAGAAGTGATCTCGATGTTGGTGGTCATAGACCTCGTGCCCTTTGCCCTTCAGTCTCAGCCTCTGCCTGGACGTGCGGCGTAGCTTTGGTATCCCGGATTGCGAAAGCAATCTAGGCGATGGATAAGTAAGCATTTCGGTTCTAAGGAAGTGTGATCACCGGCCTTACCTGCTCTCATCTAGTTTCGCAACAAATCGCCGGTGCTTGCTAACCTGGACCTTATCGTCCACCCCTAGAATAGGCGTTGGTTCCTCGTTATTAGACCCTACAGTGATGGTCGTTTGAGGCTGTTCCCATGCCGCATCAAGGCCGGCGTCATAGTCAAACAAGGAATTGTCATGGCTTGTTAGTGCATCAAGTGGTTCTGTCGTGGTTTCCATATTCCAGGCGGTCCTCGACTCTGGAGATGACGAAAGAAAAACAGACGTCGTGGAGTGGCAAGTCAGAAAAGAAAAGCGGCGAAGTTTAGGTGGGCAGGACTAGGTTATGTTGATCGAAATATCGAGTAGGTTATTGTTTGCCTGCTAGTCAGTATAGCGATTTTGTACGCGGCGACGCGATCTGCAAGCTCGGGACGCGTATGTGACCAATGAGCAATTAAGTTACTGGGCGATTTACTCATTGTAGACTGATGAATGAATGTTACCAGCACCGTATCGGCAACATAATTGAAATACAAGTCCTGTGGTGGTTTGTAATCTTATATTAGGAACTAACTATTGGACATTTGAAGATACTATATTAGGATTCTTGTTTAAGAAGGTTTTCTTTCATTCTGTTTATTAGAACTAAGGGTGTATGATAATATCAAATTATCTAATCTATCTATGTATCTGTATATAACAGTATAACTAAAAGATAAGGATTTAAAGCCTCTACTGGCTATTGTAGATGGTTTAGCACCAGTCGTATTATAATTACAGCCAATTCATGTAATTATCAAAGCTAGCAGTACTGTGATTGAAATGTAAGTCCCTATTATAATACTTGATACTGGGCAATACTACGATCTTTTCTTTATAGCTGAAAAAATCATTCTTCCTTAAAGCATCTTTTTCATTCTTTTATATAGGACTTTTAGAGTCTGAATTAATACTAAATACTCATCTTGATTTAAACTTACATATATTAGTTTAAAGCGTAGGAAACTAGGAAAGCTATACCCTCCCCCGCTTACGAATTTCACAGCTCGTAATGACTTACAAATGTTGTTTAAACACCCCAAAAAAAAAGATAATTGCTTAAAAGATTGGATAGAAAAGTTTGGACGTGTACAGTAAGTAATATAGTCACCTCAGACCCCGATCCAAGATTTTTGTTGAATTTTGAACAATTCTTGAAATTCATTATGAGTTGTGAAATTCGTGGCGGGCGTATTGCAGACTCAGGGCTTCTTCCAATGTATTAGGAGTACGAAATATTCTGTACTCCATACATACATTATCATCGGTACAGTACATTAAGTGCGGTATCCCAGGTAGTCCACTGAAGTAGTTAGTTATATTTTGTGATGACTAAGTCATATGCTAATCGCTAGACTCCAGCAGGTAAGGCGGTGGGCTTGCTTGGCAAGACTCCCTCTGAGTTCCAACTTCATTGCGGCAGAAGCCAATCCCCAAAGCACGATTATTACGCACCATCTTCTGGCCACGCCAAACGATCATGGCTACCGATCACAAGGCAACGCTTGTCCCCCCAAAGCGGGCCAACACCGACTATCCGGTATGTCCTTAAGATATCTCTGTAGGTCAATTCAATGGACAATTGACACTAACTGATTCTCAATAGCTAATTGACTCCGACCCGTATGGACCCGCCTTCAATCATTGATAATCACAGAATCTCACACTGGAACTCAGGCATTTGAGACGAGTCGTCGGTTATGCAAGACCCTCTGATTATGCTGTAGCAGGTGGACTGGCTGCTGCTTCTCCACTTGCTTTCTGGATCATGGAGAGGGTGAGCCCGTCCCATGTCGGCAGAGGCGGCTTCGCTCCTGTCATGCGACTAGCAACAGCAATCGGTCTCGTTGGAGGTCTACATATCTTTTACCAACGATCTTGCAGTGAGTATCCCATCGCAGCCGGGGAGAAAGTGCCATCACGGATGCTAATTTGCCGTCGTAGATCGCTTCTATGGTTTCACGGAAAACTCACGGGAAGTCGAGATGGATATGAGAGAGATGGTAGACAATGTCAAAAAAGGGGAACCATTGTACGGAACTTCTCAGGTTTCTCCATACTTGCAGGGTGTTGCTGCTAGAAACTCGCGTTATTCTCAGCTTTTCAGCCATGTCATTCCATGGATCAATATCGTCAACCACGATCAAGTAAGTACATCAGATATGCATGCAAGCCTGGTGAATTGGCGGAGTCCAGGCATCTCGAAACTCAAATGCTGACCCTTTGATAGCATGGCGTCGACACCGCCAAATATTATCAACAAGCGGAACGGGAGCTCGAAGCGGAACGCCTGAAATAGCCGTATCGCTCCCTCTGAATATCTGGCGGAATGAATAGTGACAAACATTAGTTATGCCCTTGTTTCTTCTGTCACCGCGAAACCTGTTGTATACGTATTTATATTCTAGCGCAATGTGAAACCCTCTTCAACAGCTTGCCTTTATTGGGTCAATCCAGACAGCTGGGGATTTCTGCTGCAGGATACGAGGTCATGATATGAGCTGGTATTCCATACTTCAGATAGTTGGGCTCAACGCTTGACTGCCCGGTACGCTAGTTTCAAAGCTCGTCTTGAGCTCACGGTGTTTCTTAGGCCGAGGCTTGGGAGCTGGCTGCAGTCAGCGAGACTTCAATGATTGCTAATGACCGGACTCGTGCATACCATTTTCATTTTCTTGTATGTAGAAGCGCCGAAGTAGCATTATAGCTTCTTCCCGAAATAGCCCCCCATGTACCACATACGGTGGGTCTATCGAGAGGCTAATGAGCGATATATTAGTGGCAAGAAAATGTCACGGGGGGTGAAAACGAACTCAGAATGCAGCGAGAGAATGCTTCCAGTCCCTCCGAACCTGTCGTTTCCGCAGCCAAAATAAACGGTACGAATCCGATATTGCCTCAAAGCAGAAGCACACATAATGCACGGCTCAACAGTCACATATAGGTCTGTCGAACGAAGAAGCGATCTAGGGTGATTTTCGAGCATTTGCTCGATGGCGATGAATTCAGCATGTCTTGTGCCCTGTGTTTCATTAGCTAAAATTTGTCGTTGGGTTCAGTCAAGCAATATCTGTAAGAGAAACCATTATAGTAGTGAAATTACATTCCAAGACACCCACAACTATGAATAGCGCTCTTTAGGCTTACCGCGCCTGGGCATTAACCTACATTCATGGATTTGTTGGTATCATTCATCCCTGAACCGACGATTTTGTTGTTGTGAACAAGGACGCATCCTACCGGCGTCTCTCCTGTCTCAAGTGCTTTTTCACCCTAGAGAAAACACATTAGTTTGCTATTATTCTATAGCGATATTGTATCGACAGATACCATTATTAATGCCTGCTTCATAAAGTACGCATGACGTGAGTCCATGCGATCAGGCACTGCCATAACGATTCCCGGGTTTAATGAATGTGAGGCAGTTGGCAGAGGAAGTGTACTGGAGGAGAGCCCCAAAAGAGGAAGATTTTAGCACCTGAAAACCACAGCGTAACAATTTGCTAGTTTGACTTGCATAAATTGCCAGGGATCGCAACGGCGATGAAATTGGCAAATTTCTTCTTGGCTCAATCGATTTTAGTCAAGTAACTCCAGACCGAGGTGCAACGGAGTCATCTCCACAATTTTAACATTCTACGGAGTGTACTGTGAAGTAACTACAGCATAGTCCTGCTGTCAACATGTATTCAGTTATCTTATCCGAACTACCGCGCGCGGTGGCGCAGTGCCCCACTTCAGTGTATACACATACAATAAATAGTACAGTCCCTTGGGGCTGGGGTAACTAGTAACCATAGACGAGTATGAGTAAGTACGAAGTATAGCACTTGTGAAAAAGTCAGTCGTCGTCCTTTGCTTTGGGACTTGCATCAACAGAGAGCATCTGACCTCGAAATGACAGGCCCTAGAGCAGCAAGTACCTAAGAAAATTCCGAACTCCAATGAAGGCGCGGTAATCGGTAGTCCATGTGGAAATGTATGGAAATCTATGATTCTGCCCGCCGCCTTGTGTGATTATGTGATTATCGGATCGAACCCGAATAACAACCCTCTCCCCCCATCCTCCAGCGCCTGTTCTAATCACCATCACCTATTATTACCGAGCTTCCCCATCGCCTAGAATATTCGAAGACACATGCACCATGTGTGGATGCAATGCCAATGGCAACAATTGAGCGCAAATCGTCTCGATTCTCCACATTGAAGACCAACCGATCGGACGTTGCAGAGACGGTTTCTTCGACCCTGGCGGCGCAGCTGGTTCCGCGTCTGTCCTCGCAAGGCGATCAGACGCGTATCCTAACCAAAGAAGCTTTCTCACAATTGCGACATGAACTTCTTGAAGGCAAATACAGCCTGCTGCTCTCCAATGACAGCGTCGCCGATGTCAAGAAGCTTCTTTGCATTGCCCTCAAAGCCGGCCTCGAGCCTTGTATCGAGGGCCAGGGGCGCCACCGGGAGGACCTAGCAAATCAGCTCTGGGACTGCCTGGATATTATACAGGCTGTTGTCGACAAAGCACCTTTGGTTCTCGTTGAGGCTGCAGATCCGGAGATTCTGGGAAAAGATGAACAGGTTCCCTTGTACTCGTGGCTGCTTGTCCGACTCCTGCGAGCGGCCAGTATCTGGGAGATAGACAGACTTAGAGAAAAAGTCAATAGCATCCTCTCGAGCATAATGAGTGTGCCCAATAATCATGCCAGACTCTTCCATTCTTTCCTTTGTATCTCTTCGTTTTTACGATCATGCACCATGGGTTTGTTCATGCGTCGCATCTGTGTCGGATGTCTGGCTAACCTCCTCTAGACCTTCTGTGCTCTCTGGAGGCTTTCCATTCTCAACAGTTATCCAATGAGCATGCGACCAATCCTCCTGTAGTCAACTTGAAGCAACAATTCTGTATAGATCTTTTGAAACTCCGTCTTCCGCATGGCTCATTCAATAGGAGCATCAACGCAGGGTCATTGCTCCAGAGCTTCTTACTCTGTGCTGATATGTTCAAGTCTAACATACACGCTTATACCTCATCTGACACCCCTTTGGATCGGCATGATAAGATATGGCTCCTGAACGGTTATCAGCGCCTATGGGACCTGGCCGTTTCCTGGCTCCCAAAGACTTTTCCCGCTCCGAAAGAGACAACCACACAGATTGTTGTCCGCGTGATAGCCGCAGCTGGGACTCTCTTCACCCAAGGGAGATGCACAGATCAAGACTTGCAGTTGGTCCATTTTGTTCTCCAAAAATCAGGAGATCTTTTGGCCACGGACGACCTAAGCGATTTCCCGGTCATCCAACTAGAATTGAGCCAGCTCATAAACAGAGTTGTTGACATGTTGAGATGTACAGCGCGTCGCGCTAGCATCACGGACAAATCAATTCTGTTGAACAATACAATGACGGAGAGACTTGCATTCTTTCGGTCTTTAGAGCCGCGTCTGCAGGTAACCGAGCACGAATAATCTATGCATGTGTGCATTTGAGGCTAATTCTATGCATAGGCATCGGTTGAGAATCTTCTGAGAAGAGCCTTGCCATCAAAAGAGGAGTATACCACTTTGTTTGAGACTTATGTTGCTCTCACACAACACGCAGTGCCAGGGATTGCTCAATCACAAGAGTCACGCACCATTGACCCATCAGTTGACAACACTGAAAGTGGTCCTTCTGTGAAGCGACGCTGTGTTTCGCATTCTGATGCAAATACATTTAACCGCAGTATGCTGCAAAGGCTTGTGTCAGAGTTACTCAGGTTGCTTTGTGATCGAGACTCCAGCGATATCAAGGACCTTGGACCTGCCGTGTCGTAAGTCATACTGCAATGAGATGCTATAACGGATACCTAATCCCGGCTGTAGTGAGTATTTTGGCAAAATTAGTGAGGAGAAAAAATGCGAAGTTCTACACACCCTAGGACTTTTACCTTGCGCTATGGCTGGAAGCTTGGCACGCATTGACGGAGCTACCTCGAATGATGCATCACATTGTCGCTTTTGCGATGATGAAAGCAGAAAAGACCGCTTCGACTCGGACGAGCAATGCTGCGGGGCTGACCTACTGGGTGACGTGTTTGCCTCCATACTACCTACGCTCTCCCGCACTGCGCCTTTGAGAATAGCTGCAATATCTGCTTTACGTAGGGTCATTATGCATTCTCCGAACTGTGAATACACGCGGCTCGCCACTTCTGTCTTCGGGGACTTTTATCTACACTCTATGAGGAGCTCTATAAGAGAATTACGAATAACGGCCGGGTATGTACTCTTGGAACTGTGCGGCCTAGCGGTGGGTGTTGACGATGTTTCTAGTTTTTCGATTACTTCGTTTGTTCAGAGAGAACTGGACCGAAGTGTTAGGCATGACAACTTCATAAGAATCTTGGATTGGCTACGCGGGATCGCAGAGAAGAAGGACATTTACTATCATGAAAGTTGCATCTTGACACTTTGCCGGCTTGCAATGTAAGCCTTCCTTGATTCATCTTCCTGCTCATGTTGCTAATCATCCTTTCAACCATGAAGGCTCTCTTACGACGAAGAAATGAACATCATTTTGCTGCGCCTCGTTGAATATCTGGGTCACTCGAATCCATTCGTCTGCTCCATCGCATACACTGAAGTATGTGTGAATTATTGGAAACTCTCTCTTCAAATCAACATTGGGCCAAATTAATATTGGACTAACTTCCCTCTAGCTCTCCAGACTGGCGCAAAACCTCTCACTTACTCCCGCTGGCTTGTTTCGACCATTCTGGAGAACCCTCTCTGTGACCGTGGTCAAGAGCTTCCAATCTCGCCCTTACATGGCAGAACAGCTGTGCGATCTCCTAGGGATGCAAGTGGATGACTTCTTGCGATTAACTGAGGTTCATGTTTTACCTTACCTCGTGCTCACACAAAAACGCGACATCATCGCCAGGGTTGGCGCCACATACAAGGAAGTCAGAACCCCGTTCGATATATGTTCAGAGAAGAACAATCTCGCCGCTATACTAGCGTTCTTGTTGAGCCAGCCATCATCGGACCCAGAAGATAGTATAATGTCCACCCTGTCCACAGTGGATGCCGCCTTTGCTGGACGTACCTTAGCCGAACTCGTGAGAGTCGAGCCGATTCTCATCGCTTGTGAAATTCTCAAGAACTTAGGGGACTCGAGCGTCAGGAAAGGAGCGAGGGTAGGTGTGCACTCAAGGCTTGCTGGCCATGGTCACTAAGTGTAACAGTTCCAGCGAGCGCTTCATCTCCTCGCCGCCCTTGTCCCACGAAAATCCGCCAATGCACAAAAACGAGGCAACTT